TCACGACGACAGTGGTTTAATCGCAAATATTTACTGATTTTGTTTTTCCTTGTGGAACATTCAATGTCATCGGCAGCCTTTTTCCTGATCGAAGCCAAGACCGAAGGAGAATATGCGGATTCTTTTTTTCAATCCATTTCAGCGTTGAGCAATGTCTTTTTCTTGTTATCGATTCTAATTGAAATGGAACATTTCTTTGAGTTAATCGCCAATTTTCAATTGATCATACAAAATAGTAAGTGATTGTACCTAAAATTTCAACGGACATCATCAGTCTGACATTCAAATTCATTTCAACAATATTAAAACAATTTTTATAGGATCAATTTTTGTCGAGGCGAAGTTAATTTATGAGAATGTGAATGAAAGCATCGAGCAATTTACAAATAAAATAAATTGGTTTATGACGAAATGGTCGTATGTTGGTGTTTTATTGCCCAACTTATTCACCACAATTATCGCTTATATTTCGTGTGAGAATTCGAGTCCGAACGACATTTTTCAGCTACCATTTCCGAGATTGTGAGGTTTTTTTTGGCGGATTTAACTATTAAGCAATCATAGGTGTTGACGAGGGTTCCTAGGGTTCGGACCGCCTTTTAGGAGGGAATCCCTTTTATACTAGGTCAAAAAGACTCTTGTGAGAAAATCACTCCTTCCGAATAAAAAATCCCGTCAACACCTATTATTAAACAATGAGATTGATTGACAAAATGTCCCATTCCTCCCATTATTTAGCTATCTCTTCAATTGGAGGACACCGATTGGATATGCAGCTGCTTTTGCATTACAAATGTTAGCACTATACGCCATCACATTTACGTCCTTCTGTACATTGTGTTCTTTGATTGGATACTGTCGCTTAATAATTGCCGTTGTCACAGACATTGAAAGTGAATTACAAAAGATAAATGCAATCAAAGTCAATAGGTTGAAATCAAAATTCCGGAATATTATTCTGTTGCATTCAAAAATCAAAGAGTTGAGTTGGAAATGTTAGTTTTGTTTTCTCTAATTAAAAATATCTCTGTTAAAATATTCCAGATTGACGACTGATTTTTCTCGCATTCATAAATTTATCATTCTTGCCATCTATTTATGGAGCATATCAACGATTTGCAGTGGTCTTTTGGTGATTCAACTGGAAATGGTTGATAATTTCACTTTTGAATACCTTCATTACTCTTAATTTGTATCCTTCTAGGGTTCGATTAGTCCATTCGAATTGATTCGCTCGATAATTATGATCTTTTGGTCGTTTGCTTGTATATTTTTCCTTTGCTGTTCGGGCCAAAATGTAACCGATCGTTTTGATGGAATTTCTAATGAAATTTATCAGTGTGATTGGTATACATTTCCGCATGAAATCCAAAGGATGATTCCATTATTCATGATTGTCACACAAAAACCGGTCGTTCTTCAAGGTTATGGAAATCTCTATTGTACTCAAGAATCTTTTAAAAAGGTAATTTTTCCTTTGCATGAGAGAATTATTATTTATTTCAGTTTTGGCTGTGTCTAAAAGGACCACAAGTGATTTGTCTGTTTTAAAGTGATATTACTTTTGTTTTCGGGGAAGGAATTAATCAAACCTTTGATTACACTTTCAGGTTGTTAATAATGGATTTTCATATTTTATGGTTCTTCGCGAAGTTTAAGAACATAAGAACAATCTCCTTATAGCACCACCCTTTTCTGTCGTTGAGCTATATGCATAATGACAACAAATAATTAATTCGATAATTGTCAAAAAGGTTGTTTGAAACAAATTCAATAAAAAGCTCATAAAAAATGAAGACAAGAAAGGACTAAATACATATTTAATTTAATTCTAATTTTGAGTTAATAGTTTCGACCCTTCACCTCTGATTAAAATCAGTTCTTATCCATACCGCTTAATACCAAGCTCTAACTATGGAATTCTTTCACTTAATTCGATGCCATCTCACAAAAGCTGATATTTGTGTCACAAAACGCCGTTGGTACAATCAAAAGAATTTGTTGGTTTGTTGGTTTTGTTATTTTGGGTGGATCATTTAAATTCGTCGTTGGCATTTTTTCTGATCGGAGCAAAAACGGTGCGAGAATATGCCGATTCTTTTTATGGCACTATGATTGGTACAGCTATTGAGATTTCAGTGTTTGCTATTAAAATGTCCAGATTTTTCGGTTTAATGTCCGCTTTTGAGAATATTATCAAAGAATGTGAGTCACATTTGTTTGAGCAACGATTCAGATTTTTGAAGAAATGGTTTTGCTTAATGTGAAACGTAGTTTTATACATTAAGCTATGGAATAGTAAGATATATATATATATATATGTTTGTTCAGTGATTTTAGAGATAACCAGAAAAGATAGAGAGTTCGGGTTTTCGGCATTCGATAGGGCATAAAAAACCCTCCAGACGTATTTTTTATTTTCCCCATAAGTGCTCCCCATTTAATTTTTTCATTCATGGACCCTCTTTTTTGGATTCCACTTTGAAAAATATTTCGATTCCACTCACCATTTATTGAGTGGATAACGAATGGATTCGGGTGGAATTACGTTTCTCCGCAACTTTATTGGGTGGATAAACGATGGAATAAATGAGTTTTACTTCAGTGTTATCTTGATTACTTTGGATCTAGATGAAACTTGTTGAAAAAAAGTTGGAGACACCCGAGACACCAAATTGTTTTAGATTCCTTATAAAATTACCTTTCGAATGGTATATAAATTATGGAGTTTCCGGCAGGTTTGATGGCATTTTGCGCTGGCCGTTTGGCCGAAATATGAAAAATTATGAGAAAAATCGGCTTCCGAATCTTATAGCAAGCAACCTAGTTCTATGATTTTGATGAAACTTCGCCAGATGATAGCTCTTGGAACCCTCTTTCCAACGGTATATAGCTTATTAGCCAATCGAACTTGTGGATGTGTTTCCCAGGTGGCCGTAGATTGACGCTAGTGATATATCAATGATACTATTGATAGTTCGATATGAATAGCGTGCTATTGGTAAATTTTAATTTTGTGACAACAACAATTTGGCTCTTCAATATTTTACCGCACATGTAGAATCTAAAATATCAAAATAGAGCTCTACATTTGAAGGAATATATTGAAGAGAAATAATTGTTGTTGTCACAAAATTGAAATGTACCAATAGCACGATATTCATATCGTACTATCAATAGCATCATGATATATCACTAGCGTCATTCTATTCACTATACTCTTCTCTCTTCATCGTTTGCATCAACCACAAACTCCTTCGGTAGGAGTCCCTCTTAATCGCCTTCGGTTATTTTACCACCCCCCTCTCTAGTAATGACAAAAAAACTAGTTTGTTGCTGAAGTTTTCGTTGAAGCAAGTCCTCAAATAAGATAAAATCCGTCGAGATTGATATAAAGTAAAATATTGAAAGTACAGCAACGGAGTGCAAATAGTATAAGATGTCACAAGTAACCTTTGGATTGTTTGCTCACGTCGAAATTGAAGTGAATTCAAATTTTGAAATTAGTGAAAATATTTGCAAAGTCAACTTTCAAGGGGAAATTTATTGCGGCATTTTCCTCTGATTACTTTGAATTTTAACATCTGAGTTTTCTGAGAGTAGTTTATGGGGTTTACTGCCTTTTTGAAGCTCAACTTCATAGGTGGCAATATAGCCAAAATGAGAAAAATATAGGTAAAGTACATTTTCGAGCTTCATTGCAAGCAACCTAGTTCTATGATTTTGATTAAATTTCGCCAGATGATAGCTCCCAAAGTCCTCTTTCTAACGCTATATAGCTTATTAGCCAATCAAACTTGTGAAGAGTTTTGGAATTTCAATTTAATTGAAACATTGACAAAAACCTTAGAGAAAAACGAAATCCATGTGATGCATTTATTAGGTAGTTCTGGACGTTCTCATTTCAGTAATTGAATTGAACGATTTCACCATTTATGGATCATCAGCGCAGCTTTTAAGAAAACCATCTATATAATTTATAGGATTTACTAACTTTTTGAAGTGGGAGCGCATAGGTAGTCGTTGAGGCAATATGAGGAAAATATTGGCAAAATTAATTTTCAAGGTGTAATTTATTAAATTGTGGCAAAAAATTCAAAATATGAATGTCGAGTAGTTTGTTTTTCTTAGTAGTACGGTTCCACGTTTCACATTAAGCTCTACGGCCAAAAACTGGCAGTGTATTTTTTTTAAGGATTGAATGTGGCCAGAGCAAAGTCGATTTACTCAAACATTCTATTTTTTTTATCATAAAATTTTCGCCGGTTGGTGTTTTATTGCCGTAATTTCTCATTACCATTATCGACTTTATTAGGATGGTCTTTCGTGAGAGACACTAATCAAATCATTCTAATTTCAGGTTATCAATAGTGGATTCTCATATTTTACGGTTCTTCGTCAAGTTTGAAAATGATTACACTTTATTTTCGCATTCAAATTCGTTCAAATTAATGTGTCATTGTTGATTTCGAAGTGTTTTTTTTTAATAACAAACAAGTTGCTCCTTTCAATCACCGCCAGATTATATTCCTCTTGGAACCACTTTGACGCCAGAGTAGCAAAGTGTTCCAGAGAAAATGACTCAATGTTTATTAGATTTTGTTTTAGAAAGTCAAGATATTGCTTTGCAAATAAAATCGTTTCAAGGAAACATGATTCATGTCTTAAAGGTGAATCTTTTATAATAGCTTTCACGAGAAAAGATAAGACATTTATTATCATTTTGGAAGTGTTTTCGAAGAAAATGTTCATTTATTTAGTCAGAATGGAATGGTTTACAGCTCATAATAATTATGCAATAAATAATTTAGTCTAAAGGTGTCAATACACATCAATTTTTCGTTAAAATTCGATGAAACCTTGAACATTCATCTATAGAGGTTTTTTTGCCGCTGTTTTTGTTCGATAACAAATCGGTAGCTTTAATCATCATTCACCACTATCACCCTATCTTAGTCATGAATCTAAACAAATGTGATTATCTTATCATTCGATTGTTCCAAAATCGCATAAAAATGAGTTCACTGATCATCAAGAAATCATATCCGATTCAGTCGTTGTGTGTTTTAAACGAATCAAAGTGTGAAATAACCATGAAATTCGCTATATTTTTGGTGTTGGCCTATTTCAGCTGTTGCTACGCAATAAATGAAACAGTCTGGGGTGTTGAAACTCAAAATCTATTGGGAAACAAAAAAGTTGAAATCAGTTCGTCCATCTTTCAAGTTAAGGAGTACACCAGGGTTCGCAAATCCGACCGAGGTCCGACCGCCGACCGACCGCCGATCCGATCCGAACCGAAAATACTCGGAGTTCGGTCGGCGTCGGAACGAGTTTTCCATCGGATTTTTTTTCGGAATTCGGTTTTCGGATATTGATCGGATGCTCACAAAATTAAAAAAATTAGATCATTTTAAATTTCTATTCAAAAATAACAATTGTTCGATGTGCGCTGTATTAACCATTTGGTAAATATAAAAAAAAATTATTTTCATTAAATTTTTCCGAACTCCGAGCACCGACCACGACCGACCACCGATCCGATCCGATCCGAGATATTCGGAGATCGGTCGGCCTCGGATTGAATATCCTCGGCGTCGGATCGGCGTCGGAATCGAAAAATGGCCGCCGTTGAGAACGCTGGAGTACACATTCACTTTCCCCGACGTAAGTAGAAAAGTTGCAAAAATTATGTGAATTGATCTATTAATCGAAGTTGTTGCTGTTTTTAAATAGATGCCAGGCAAATTTCCAATCTATGGCATCAAACATGTTGACTACAAATCGCATCCAGTTACTGTGAAGTTCTTGAAAGGTGGCCTTGGTGACTACTTTGTAACCATTCATATTCAATCACAACGCAGCCATGGAATCAAATCCGAATTCGTTTTCTTCACATAATTATTGAATTATTCAGCTGTAAATTTAAAATATAAAAATTATGAAAAAACAGTTTTTTTTTTAAATTTAATCAGACGATTCTAGAGACACTTTACATCGATAAGAGTTCTCAACAACTTTGTTTTTATCATGGATAAGAATGGGGCTCTTGAATGAAAACAATGAGTGACAGTAAAAATTCCCTTCTCACGTGTCTCGATAAAAAAATATGACATAGGTACGAAGCTCACCAATCTTCTCTCAAAATCTTTTTACGCTTAAAATGTGTGTGGCAAAAGTTATCTTCAATTCAACAGCGTACCAATGAAATGATAAAGCGAGCGCAAATGCGATATGAGAGAGTGAAGTAATGCAGTGCGAAACGATGGGCAGTAATACGGTAAGAATGTGACATGTAACGGCGGACGCGCGTTAAAACAGCAAACAAAGCTTGAATGTAAACAAAACTAAATGCAGTGCACATGCATGTCAGTGAATCTATAAATAACACAGAACTTCTGTGAAAATTGAATGGCAACAACAGCATCAAAAACAGCTATATTATCAGCGTTCAGCAACGAGATATAGTCTCAACGCAAACTACGCACGAGCATATCATGCGGAGCGTATCGTGGAATACGCAACGACGAAACGTTCTCATGATTGCCTTTTAAACTAATATCAAATCATACTTACTTGTATCATTAAAACGCAATTTCGACTCAGTTTTGAAGAACAAGAGGGTTTTCTTAATCACAATCCTAAATCTTCTTTTATTTCATGAAAATTACACAAAAACTCATAAATAAACTGAAAAATATCGACTCAATCATTTCAAACAAATTCCAAATGAACGTTATCGAAATTCTCAACGTACTTGCTCTTGTGTTCTTCGAACAATTCCTCGAGTCGGGTGCAAAAAACTTTATGAACATTGTCAATCTGGTCTTGATTTGGTTGCAAGACTTGCTCTACCTCGATTGGAGCTCCAATGACAGTTGTAATCGGCTGTCTTCTTGGAAGCATCCCAAAATTGTACTGTAAATATCCTCGTCCACCACAAATTCCGCTCAATTGTTGCCATACAGATGGATTTTCTACATCTGGACTGAAAGGCATGTTATAGTAATCATTTTCACCAAATGACAAAGCTGGCACAAGTGGTGCACCGGTTTTTAGTGCAATTTTAACAAAACCTTTACGATTCTTCAAATACAATCGATAAGTATTCGGAAAAATTAAACGTTGTTCACGAACTCCACCAACTATTAAACCGATTGCATTTGATTTGTATCCATCGCGATTTGATTTGTGATTCGGATCGGTCGATTGGGTTAGAAGGTTTGTTAATGCTGTTGGCGATGCTGCACAATTTCCAACTGCCAAACCCAATTCACGAGCAATTGGAAACACGAAGTTCGGTACATTAAGTGTCGTCAGTTTTGGACGTAGGCCCGGGAATAAAGTTGAAAATTTTGAATGGGATGTACAAAAATTTCCAGCAGCACCAAAACTATTTTTGAATTTACGGATTTTAAGTTTTTAAACTAATTGCAGGGGTACCACATTTACCTTAACATTCCGTGTGGAAATATGCAGATTAAGTAGTTTCGATCTGGTGGCAAATCAACTGTTTTTACCAAGTCGATTGGAAAATAGTTAACTATATGTTTCCATACGGACCACGAACGCACCCAGGATGAACTATGGGGAAATGATTGAAGAAAATTCGTTTTATTTCTATTCGATTCGTTTTTTGTAGAGAAAATTGCCTTTTTTTTTAAAAAAATACGTAAATTTTTTTATTCAATTCATACCCAGCTCCTCTTCCACCGCGATCGCCGCTCTTGAAATCAAACACAAAGAACACCAAATATGATACGCAAATGATTTTCCAGAAAATATTTCCAGCAATCTAAAAATAATTGAAGCAAAAAAAGAAGAGAACTTGTAACCAATATAGAACAGCGATATTTGTTTATTATTCGGCGCCAAGCGTCGAAGTATGTAACATATCACCAACAAAAGCACAGAATCTTATAAAACAAACTCGTTCTGTGAATGCAACAAATATGTCTTGCGTCATATACAATCATCGCTCGCGTATTATGCAATATTGATACGGACACAGATGCGTTAGTGCTTACATATGGGAGCGTCAAATATGTTCTTGTCGCATTTTCTCTTGAATTTGAATAAAAAATATTAAATTAAATCGAATTACCAGTAAGTAAATAATCAAGATGACACTTAATGGACCCAAAAGGATCACACAAAGAAAGAAAAACGTTAAGCTTAGCACCTCCAAACGACAATGGCAAGGCACATTGAACCACGGTGTCCACTGCATTCCCATGATTCTTTTCTATTTTTATATACTCTGTTTTTAACTTTGACTTGGAAAATTAAAACTTCTATTTAACGTTTTATTAAATTGTTAATTCAATTCGAAACTTAACAGCATCGAATTTAATGAGAAAAAAATCTTTGAATCAATATTGCAAAGTGAATGTAAACAAAAGATATTGTGACTATAGTTTCGAACATGCAACAGCGTACTAATGAAAATGACATTTGGCGAGCGCACATACGATGAGAGAGAGTAGAAGAGGCAATAGCGGTTATATATATGAACAACCGTCATACGCTGGAATGTGCGCACACTATTGGAAGTGTATGGAATGTAAGTCGCGAATTTAAATTGAAAATAATAACAAACATCAGATCTACAGCTATAGCTATAGAATATACATTTGTTTACATTCCACCATACAAGGTGTGCGTCGCCGTTCGCGTATCGCATCGTGACTATGAACAATTTAAATTGATAATCATAGCACCGAAACCATAAATTGAAAGGAGACTTCTCATCGTCATTTCAGCGCTCAGTTATCGAAATGATTTCGGTAATAAAATTCAATGATTGACTAAAAAAAGATATGAACCAAATAATGGTGGAATGGATCAAAATGAAATAAAGCATGACTTAGATTTGAGATTTGATTCAACCGGGCATGGACTTCAGCGTCTCAGATTACGTCTATCCAGTGAATTTAGAAAGAATTCCAAACAGTAAGGTGAGGAAAGTATGTGAAAACCATTTAAGTGTCACACAGCCATGAGTAGAGTAGCTGACACTACTTCAAAACCTTTCGAACGGAATTTTTATCAATATTTTATTGTACATTGTATTGTCATTAAGTAGTGAGAATTACTCATCGCATGATGAGTGTAACATTCAAACTCAAATATTGTTTACATTAAAACTCGCGTTGATTCATGCCGCTGCTATCACGTATTTTGTAATCAAAGTTATTGGAAACATCGAGCGAAATTAATGTCAGCCAAACCTCCCGATACCGGAAATTTTGAATAGCAAAAAATTCATGAATTTTTGGGAACTTTAAGCCGCTATTGATTTTAGACTTGATTTCGTTTCTCCCTGGTATTTTTGCCATAATTTGAGATTTTGAAGTGAAAATATACGAAAATTTCAAATAATGGCATTCAAATTTAAACAATATGGGATTGAACACAAAAATACCAGAGAGAAACAAAATCGGACAAGGATCCGACACGAAAACTCAATAAAAGCCTAGTTTAACAGAAAGCTCAAGTGAATGCACCGAAATTGTGACTCCATTAAAGAGTGTTTTTTTCGATTATCTGTCATAAATTGGAGTCATGGCATTAATGCAATACCAAAAACAAATCAATTGTTGAAATTACATAACATATTTTGTAAAAAGTAAAACCATGTATATCTTTTTTCGCTTTTTTCTTGAATTATCACATATTTGTCACTTTGAAGTTTGATGAATGTGAATAAGTCAATTTACCTTAAGAAATTGTCGAATGAACGAGTAACAGAGCTGATAAAATCGATATAAAGACCAATACACTTTAGTGATATCAAATCTTTTGAATGTTTAATGAAATCATGTCATATACATTGATGGTATGTCGTTTGTATTAAATCTAGCAATTAATCAAAATTGTTTTCGATAATCGGCGACTGATATGAATCACCGCTCTTCACCATATGTATAACTGATAAGATGTGATAAGACTTAACAAAAATGAAATAAATAGCGCTCCACGCTTTAGTGAAAACAATTAGTTGCAATCCGACTGTTGACTCCTCATCAAAGACGAAAAAAAGAGTTCTATATTCAACATGAAATTCGCTGTGTGTTTGATTTTTGCCTTTTTGGCTGTTTACTCAGTTAGTACGTCGACTGTAACCACTAACGTTTGGGGCACAGTCACCAACCGTACATTGGGTTCTAAGAGTATTGTGGTCACTTCTTCCATGTTGCAAGTCAAAGAGACTACTTTCACTTACCCACAGGTATGTATAAAGCGAAAGAGAGGTGAAAATACACCTTCATAGCAAAAAAAATGAAAAGTTCAATTTCTTTCTTTTAAATTTGAAAATATAATAGGGTCAATCGAATTACACCATCCACGGAATTAAGCAAATGGACTACAAGTCATATCCATCCACTACCACGTTCTTGAAAGGAGGAATTGGACAACGTAATGTTACGATTAAACTTACGTCACAACGCGGCCATGGACTCAATTCTACATTCATTTTCTACACTTTGTAAATTTCTTTATGTTCAAACAAACTGTCAAATTAATAGTTTAAATGTATCAACACCCATCATTTGCTACTTTGGATCGAAAGATTTTTCATGAGATTTTTCTGTTTATTTTTTTCGTTTCTTAATAAAAAAAAGTTCAAAATAGACAGCAAGGTGAAAACTGTTTCTTTAAATTGAACTATAAGATTATAATGGAAGGTTAACATTGAAATCGATGTTTTATATTACTAATAGATTGCGAAACTGGTAATTGATTATCAATTTCAATCGAAATGATTTCGTGTGTTCTGCATTATTTCTATCAAAATTCAATGACCAAAAATAAGGTTCAAATTGAGCACATACGAGGTAAGGAAAGTCGTAAGCAAAATCGAAGAAAACTGGCATTGAAGGAGCCAATATTCATAAAATAAGTTTTATGGTAAGATCATAAAAGAGTAATTTGGAGAGAATGGTTTTTCAATACAACCAGCATCACACAGGTAAAAAAGAAGAAAAAAAAAGGGTAAAGGTTGCACCACAAAATGCAACTCAAAAGTAATGTTTTTCTATGCCACATACTCCTTTTTAAAATTTGACAATAAAATTGTTATTATAAAATTGATGAACAAATACGATGACTCCAATATATATATTAAAAATTGTTGTTTTAACATGATGGTAAAACAAAAAATTGTCCGTAAAATAAAATTAGAGATTTTTAACTTCAAAACAACAGTATCAAATAGAGCAAATACATTATTCTTTCATTCAATGATTTTATTGGTGCTCATAAAATGTTTTCCTGCTTTAAAAATTACGTTTTACGCCTTGAAGTGAACTTCTTTTTACCTAATTGCTTGTTGTAAATGGGAAATTTTCACAAAGACAATGTATCATAAAAATGGATGGAGCATTGTTTTGTTTCCAAACTTACTAAATGACTTTTGGCTGCAATTTTTATACTTTATTCGTTGGAATAGAGAGTTGTTAAATTTTAAAAAGAAATTCATCAAATTATTTCAGTCTTTAAAAAGTCTTTGAGTAGAAAGCAACTCTTGCAATTCAAGTGAATTAATTTTCGTATTTTGGTTACTACAATATTTGGTGGTTCAATAAGTCTTTGGCCTAACAATGAAAAATACATATTTTTGATCAAAAATCATTTTTATTATTCAATATAATCCCCGTCGAGTTGAACACACTTGGCCCAGCGCTCGGGTAACATTTCAATGCCTTTCGAATAATGAGTTTTGTCGAGTCCCCAAAAATAGGCATCAGTTTGCCATTCAACCTCTTCATTTGAGTAAAGATTCTGTCCTGCAAGCCACCTTCTCAAGTTTGAAAACAGATAATAGTCGCTGGGGGCTAGATCTGGAGAATACGGTGGATGAGGAAGCAATTCCCATCCTAATTCATCAAATTTTTCCATCGTCAATTGGGCTTTGTGTGGTCTTGCGTTGTCTTGATGAAAAAGAATTTTTTTCTTTGCCAAATGCGGACGTTTTTTCTTTATTTCATCATTCAAACGGTCAAGCAAGGCTATATAATACTCTTTGTTGACCGTTCTACCCTTTTCGAGATAATCGATGAATATTACCCCATGCGCATCCCAAAAAACACTGGCGAATACCTTGCCAGCCCATCGATCTTGCTTCACACGCTTTGGAGGTCTTTCATCTGGTCCTACCCACTCCGCAGACTGACGTTTGTCTTGTGGTACGTAGTGATGGACCCAAGTCTCATCCATCGTGATGTATCGACGCAAAAATTCCCTTGGATTGCGATTATACAATGCCAAACATCGCTGAGAATCATTGATTCGTTGTTCTTTTTGGTCGATGTTGAGAAAATGCGGCACCCACATAGCAAGCAGCTTTTTCATGTGCAAATGTTGATGCATAATTGTAACCACTGACCCTGTTGATATGCCTATGGACTCAGCTATCTCACGCACTTTCACTTTTCGATCATTCAATAACATGCGGCGGACTTGTTGAATGATTTCGGGGATAATTGCCTCTTTTGGGCGACCTGATCGTTCAGCATCAGCGGTGGATGTACGCCCGCGACGAAATTCAGCAAACCAGTACTTGATGGTTGAACTGGGTGGTGAACAGATGCCGTAGCACTTATCTAGCCATTCCTTTGCTTCGACGGTATTCATTCCCATTAAAAAGCAGTGCTTAATCAAGACTCGAAATTCACTTTTTTCCATTATTTGAAAAATCTCAAAAGTTGCTTGATACTTATGCCTGTAACTTGTGAACAAATGCACGGATTGGGCTTAAAATTTGACAGTATTGTGAAGACAGGTGGTACTTGTCAAAAATAAAGAGATTTTTTATTTATGACGCCATCTGGTTGTCAGGCCAAAGACTTATTGAACCACCAAATATTCAACTGTTTCGTGTACTGTATTAATTTTGTCAATTGGTGTCTTATATCAAATTGTTTGTGTCTCAAACTGTTTGAAAATGTCGTCTCATGGTTGGAACCGAGAATTAGAGAAAATGTTAACGAACATTGATCGGCAGGCGATGTCGTCGCTACGATATATTAGAAACTGTTTCGAACGATCAGGCCAGTCGTTCCATCAAGAACATCAAAAATATTGTCTTAAACGTTCAATCGACAGGTAATTTACTCTTAAATTTTCTTCGTATAACAAATTAATTTTCTATTTTATTCCATTTGTTAATGTGTTTAAATCCGAACTGGATTTAAAAGTTAAAAAATCTCAATGTTTGTTTACATTCAAAAACTGGAATTTGTACGTCTTAAGCTAATTCACAATAACACTGTAAGCATATATGAAGCAACGAAGACCGTTGTTTACATATATGATAATAAGCTGTAAAAGTGAAAGGCAACAATGATAACATAGCGATGCTATGCGACATGTTACATCGCATTCGCTATGATCGCATGACCACTGTCAATATAAGAATATGTAAATTGGTTTTACGGTTAAAGCACAGTATAAGATAAATATTGTAAACATGGACTTTGAACCGACTATGACCATGTAATTCGAAATTACTATATGTAATTCATGTAAGTGGGAAAGACAAAAATTGGTATAAAAGGGCTGGTATTTTTCATAGTAAGTTAAGTAGCCAGATCTCTTCGAATATTGTAGTTGTCTCGACGAATGCTAAAGTTGACCCGCAACTACAATATAACATAAACAAAGTCTGATTGTCTCGACGAATGCTAAAGTTGATCCGCAATCAGAGTTTGTATAGGGAAAATTAGGGTGTCATTAAGACAAAATTGTTAAAGTGGTTATTTTAAATAAATTGGAAAAAAGTATAAGTAAAAGGTATTTTATTTAAGCAGTTATATAATCTCACTGCGAAAAAGAGATTAACACGTACATAATGAATAATCTCTTTCCTTTAGATTTAATGAAATGTATTCCAAATTTGAAAATGGATCTTTGTTCGATAAAAGTCAAAGTAGAAGTGTCCAACTTTCCGAAAATTCTTCGACAATCGCCTCAATTTCAACCAAAAATAACACCCCAATCCAATTATTGAAATCAGCGATGATGAGGATTTGAATGAAAGGCCTAATACCAGGTCGCAACTATCCAGGGAGATTGCTATTCGAAATGTTGATCGTGAGATAAAAACCGAGGATAATCATGGTGAAAGCGTTGATCAAGCTTCAGGTGGGGAGAAACCCAACGTCGAACCAAAAGAAGAAGAAGAAGTGGAGGATGATGTGATTCCCATAATTCGTGTACCGGCCAATCAACTGATGCGTGCATATATGAAAATACCAAATAATCGTATCAAAATCGAAGATCATAACAAAGAAAACATTTCGAATGGAGTGAAACGTGAACGATCAAATTCGCTGAATATTTTTGATAAAAGTGATGACATCAACGAAACCAATATATGTGAACCACATAAAAAGAAATCACGAGTATCGAGAAAAGGAGTTGTATTGAAGGATATAAGTCGAAAAATCAGTGGTAAAAGTAACGCAAACACGACGAATGAAAGAAATATTTCCAATGCTATTTTTGAAGTGAATATAGCTGGAAATGTGAGAAGTGGCCAGACGACACTTGATAAATGGATTTCTCATAAGAACAAAAGCAATGGAAACAAAGACCAAAAGAATAGAGGAATCAACGGTCAAACGAAGGAAAAGAAAACGAACATTCAACGATCGCAAAGTCTAGAAGTCAAGCAGAAAATATCCAGTGATGTGAGAACTCACAATGGAGAAAAACCACATCAATGTGATCGATGTAAGAAGCGATTTAGTCGTAAATATCATCTCAATACGCATATTCGAAGACACACTGGAGAAAAACCATATCAATGTGATCAGTACAAGAAGCGATTTACTGAGAAATCTAGTCTTAATAAACATATGACGACTCATAATGATAGTTTGTTCCATTGTTCAGGGTGTCACCAAGGATTTTCACAAAATATTGAAAAAGCGTTACACGAAAGGGAGTGTAAACGACGCCGATATGAGTGCTACCTTTGCAACCGAGATGAAAATAAGAAGAAGTTTGCTACTATTTCGAAGAGTATACTAGTAGCACACATGCGAATACATACTGGAGAAAAACCATATAAATGTGTTCAGTGTATGAAACATATTTGCCAGACAATATATTGAATTAACTGGTCAGTTGAGCTGACAGTACGTTAGCCAGCTAAATGGGCTAAAACAATAGACGTTATTGTTTTAATGATGAATCACTTTTCTTGTTTTAATAGAAGTGATTGTTCATTATAACAATAACTTCTATTGTTTTAGTCCATTTAGCTGGCTAACGTACTGTCAGCTCAACTGACCAGTTAGTTCAATATATTGTCTGATATTTGCAACAGGGATAAAAATAAGAAAAAGTTTGTTACTATTGCAAAGGCTGCACTAGAAGGACACATGAGAATACATACTGGAGCGAAACCATTTAAATGTGGTCGATGTAAGAAGCGATTTAATACAAAAACTTCTCTCACTAGACATATTCGGTGTCACACTGGAGAAAAGCCATATCAATGTGATCAGTGCGAGAAGCGATTTAACCGCCGGCATCATCTCCAATATCATATGAGGACTCATAAGGATAGTCGGTTCCACTGTTTAGGTTGTTACTGTGGATTTTCACAGAATGTTGAAAAAGAAGCACATGAAAGGGTATGTAAGATACGTCGATATGAGTGCTATATTTGCAACAGGGATAAAAATAAGAAAAAATATCTTTCTGTTGATAAGAATTCACTACAAAAACATATGAGAATACATACTGGAGAAAAACCATATCGATGTGATCAATGTAAGAAGCGATTTAATCAAAAGAGTAGTCTTAATTTGCATATTCGAAGGCACACTGGAGAAAAACCATTTCAATGTGGTCGGTGTAAGAGGCGATTTACCCAAAAGCCCCATCTCAATTCGCATATGAAGACTCATAATTTACCTTAAGACGATAGTCTGTTACACTGTTCACGGCGTCACCATGGATTTTTACAAAGTATTGAAAGAGAAGCATATGGAAAAGGAGTGTAAAAGACCTCAGCATGAGTCAAGATAGGAACAAATTTGCTACAGTTAGAAAAGAATTATAATCTAATCATTTAAATTTGGAATTATTTCGGATAACGTTGAAATAAACTTAAATGCTCATTCATTATTGAACATTGATGTTGAAACTAATTACTTTAAAATATTTCCAATAGCAATATTGATATAAAAGTACAAACAAAAATAAAATTAATCTATGTTTAAGAAAACAAAATATCTAATTTGATTAATTTTTTCAGGCATATTTATACTTTTTTTCTACTTAAATAAATTCTTAAGAGGTGGGTCATATCGTGTTTTCTACACGAAATATGCATAGAAAACATGTTTTGGGCTGACTTTAATTTTTTGGCCTAATACACTACGCACTAGGTGTGCGGAAAAGTAAAAACACGACCAAACCATTTCATGTAGTGCTAATAAAGACAACGAGTGCATATTTGAAACTGTTCGAAGCATTTTTTGATCCAGCTTCATAAATTAACTTTTTTATTTTTATGAATTTATAACGAATTTTGTATGTAAATAAAAAATAGTATAAGGCAAATCAAAACAACAACTTCTATGACTAAATACAGCCGTTATTCAACCCTGATTGCATTCATTTGTTTTTTATGACACTTATCTGTATATCATGAGATAACAAATCAATGAGCATGAAAGCGACTTGCGATTGCAAAGTATTGAGCGGACGATTGTATGTATTGGTCAGTATTACGGTCTACATCAAATACACACAAACAGCGACTTTTCATCGATTTGCATCAGCTGAGAGCGCCTCTTTCGTTTGTGTGTATTGACCAAACGAATGAGATCGTAACAACGATATATGTGCATGTGCAAATATGTGTCCCATTCACTCTAGAACGATTGCACGCATATAAACATAGCAAAACGTCAATCGGTTGAATATTTAAAAACTTCTTTCGTTCAGAGTTTTTTCGTGTAATCAGTGTAATTTGCGATTTTTTGAGCCCAGATTACAAGTGATACTTAATCCGTGCCAGCCTCAGATCAACAATGTATTGTTCAACGCGATTTGATGAAATGAATAAAGTTTGGTATGGTCCGAGCACTGAGTATACAATTGATAAGCAGAAAAATTTCGGTGAAATAATTTTGGAGAAACTCAGTACTGATGCAAACCGGGCGATGCAAGTAAAACTTCTTTAAAATAAATGATGAAGTTTGTTTGATAACTGTGTGACTCTAGATTGACGGTATCACGGGTGAAACACTGACAAAAGCTGAAGTTCGACAGCGAACGATTCGATGTGCTCAGAACTTGGTGAAATTTGGATACACTAAAAATGATTCCATCACTATTGTTGCGCGCAATCATCACAATTTGACGCCACTTCTATTTGGAGCCATATGCTGTGGCATACCAATCAGCCCATTGGATGTTTTGATTGTAGAAGGTCGGTACTTTTATATCCCGGCAAGTTGCTGACCTTGCCTACACAGAAAATGAAATTATTTGTGATTTTCAGATGGAATTTCGACTATTCTCCAAAGGCTACGTCCGGCGATAATATTTTGTGATGCTGATGTTCTTCGATCGATACAAGACACAATTGATGGCATTGGATTGAGTGCAAAGATATTTACGGTAAATAAATCGGTCGATGGCTACGATTCAATTGACAGTTTGATGGTTGCAACTGATAAAGAGGACTCCTTTGTGTATGTATTCGGGTCATTGCATTCCGTTTTACTTGTGCACACAGTTGAAAGTATTAACGATTAACAAACGTCATTATTTCAGTTGTGCAACAATTGACGATGCCGTCTCGCACATTGCTCTGATTGCATGTTCATCTGGTTCAACTGGACTTCCAAAGTCGATTTGTTGGACACATGCCTCGTTCATCCATTCGTTTTTGCCATATAGTAATACTGAGGTTCGAACATTTCGATGTTTGAATTTCTCGTCATTCTATTGGTTCTCAAGCATTTGGTCAACACTGAGTTCGACACTTTGTAGCATTCGTGTCTTTAGTTCGCAACCATTTTCAACCGATTTATTCTTCGATTTGGTGGAAAAATACAAGGTAAATAACTATGAAAACGGATTTCAATTACCAAATCATTCAAAATATTGACACTTTTTAGGTTCAAAAGTTTTTGGGTCCACCGTGTCAATTCCAAGCATTCATTAAAAGCAAACGATGTAAAAATGCCAACCTATCGACACTTTTGGTGTGCATCATTGCCGGTAGCTCTATACCACCAGTTTTGCTTGAAAATCTCACACAAATCATTCCAAAGTGTTTGTTGATGACAGGCTATGGTATGTATGGCTCAGAACACTTAGTATCTATTGAAATTGTTTTTAGATTTTCTGCTATTCATTGAACAGGTATGACTGAGATGGGTGGCATTAGTTTCACTACGCCAAGAGAGTTGAAAGAATGTCCGAATTCGGCTGGACAATTGCTACAAGGAGCTCAAATAAAGATCATTAGCGACACCGGCGATAAATGTGGAATTGACGAACACGGCGAGATTTATGTGAAAATGCCAATTCCATCGATGGGCTACTACAATGATGAAATAGCCACTCAAAATGCATTCGATAGTGAGGGTTACTTTATCACCGGTGATTTAGGCTATTTCAATGCTGGTCGGCTGTTTATTATTGGAAGAAAGAAAGAGATTTTCAAAAATCGTGGCTTCGCTGTTTGGCCAATTGAACTCGAAAATCTTATTCTCAAACATCCAGCGATCAAAGAAGCGACGGTTGTTTGTGTCTATGATGATGATATAATGACTGATTTGCCAGCTGCTGTCGTCATCAAACAAGATGGCTTTTCAATTACAGAAAATGAAGTTTCCACCATGATTTCTGGTAATAACTACATTTCAATCAGATTTTCTTTTTTAATTTTTTTACTAATTTTTTTGTGACAGATAAATTGGCCAATTACAAGCATCTAGAGGGTGGTGTTTACTTTGTGGACGAATTACCGGTGACTCCATCTGGCAAAATTATTCGACCGAAAATCAAGGATATCGCCCAAAACTTGTATGAACGCAAAACACAACCGGGAGCACCAACTTCAAAGCAACTGTGAATTTATTGAATGTAGTCGATTTTGTTTGTATGTATGTGGAAACTAGTATGAGGGAATAATTAACTACTTCTAATTCTAACCACTTTATAGTCCGTGTGGTAATGTATCATTGCATGTTTACCATGAAGAAATCAATTGACACCAATTTGATGAGTGTATTGATCCCACATAATTGCTTCAGTCAATATAAATTACCTCATTCGTCAAAAGTGTAATAAACAAACAGATTGATCAAGTTTTAGTTTCTTTATGAAAAAATAAATATATATATCAAATTGATTGATCCAAACACACTGTTTTATATTAATTAATTTTTATTGAATTGCATGTAAGAGTACAAAAAAATAAATTGTATTTCGTATACGCTATTAATTCAATTCTTTATTGTGAGAAAAAGAAATTCCTGACGATTTTTTTATTTCAAAATTCGTATTTGCGTTCAAACTATGTTTCATTAACATATTTTATACTTTTAAAGAACGGCAAATACGGTGACGTCCCCATTCATTATTCTGCGGCAATAATTTGGTTGAACTTTTTCAAAAAGTCAGCAGCTGTTGGGCGATTTTGCGACAAAGCCGATTTCAATAAATCTTTCTTGGCTGCTGATATGCCGCAATCTTTGTTCGCAACAGTTTTCAGAATGTCACCATAGCAGATAGCTCTGCGAATCTCGTGAATATTTCTGCATTCGGAAAATGGTTCCTCTTCGGTTAACAATTCAAATGATGTCAGTGCCAATGCGTATACATCAACCGATTTCAATTCATCAATTGTTAATCGTTTCCCTTGGATAACTTCTTTTGGGCAATATTTTTCTGTACCAGCAAAACCAAATTGTTTGGTCGATGCATTTGATTCGGTGTCATCTTTTAATGCCAAACCAAAATCGGCCAATTTACAATGTTTCCTTCCATCGCTCAACATAATATTTTTGCTTTTTATGTCACGATGTACCATATTTTTGGAATGAATATATTGCAATGCCAAAAAGAAATCGCAAATAAATTGGTTCTTGGTGGCATCATTGAACTCCTCTTCCGAATAATATAAATTATCATAAAGTGAACCTTCCAACAACAATTCCATGACGATTGCCAAATTTGGTGGTACAATGCAAGCACCGTAGAACTTGACAATATACGGATGATCCAAATTGGTAAAACCGCGAACTTCATCTTCAAACTGCTTTTTCTTTGCTTGGTGGACACGTTGTACGCGTAACTTTTTCACAGCGACTTGCTGATTTTTCCACAGAGCAATATGAACATCACCAAATCCACCGCCACCGATTTTTTCGCCCAAGTCCAAATCATCAAATGCAATGATCTGTTCACGTTTCAATTCGATGTTCATGTCCTTTTTGGCGATCACGTCACGTCTGGCTTGCTTCAAATTATTCAAATTTTCTATTTCTTCACACACATATTCCGGATAAGTTTCAAATATTTCCGCAAAATCATTGTTCTGAAATTAGAATTTGAAATATTTATTATTAATAATAATAATACACCGCCAAGAACTGGCTGTCTTTATTTAGTCATAGTAATAAGTGTTTGCAGGGGAAAGGTATGGATCATTGATCGTAAATGGTCTCACCACCATTAAAACCTGCATCTTTTTTACAAATCTGTACAATTTAATTCTTTGGCAATTCCTGCTATGGCACATAGCTCGTCGTTTGTGTTTCTTTAAAATAGTGGATAAAATAACAATAAATATAAATTCATTTAGCAAGATACAATATTGAAATATAAAGTAAATAGAACGTTAAGACGTAATTTTATCATAGGAATCACATGTTCTCTTGTATAATTCATATAATGGGTCGCCCAACAAATGGCCCAAATTATAATTGACATCGTCTCATTTATTACACTTGAATAGTAAAATTTGTATTATAGTCGGGCATTTGAGGATTTAATAGAAATTCACTGCTGTCGATTGATTTCATATGGGTTTTGAAAATGTTCCTTGATGTAGATTGATGGAACAGATTTTGAACTTTTTGATTGTTTGCGAGTTTGCACATTTGCGTAAGTGGTGCTGACAATGAGATCTTGAGAATTTGATCGGTGATTTTGAATAATTCAGTTCTTCTCAAGTTTAGCTTTATTGTTGCTATTATTTCGAAATACTTTTCTTCACGACACATTTGTGTGCGGAAAAGTAAAAAAAATGAATATATTTGTAACGCTATTCCTACCTGATATTTGTAGACATTCGCATTAAAATCGAATAGTTTTGGATCGCATTTTAATTTTGATGCAACACACGATCCCAATGGTTTTCCGACGCGTCCCAAACGACGATTCAATGCATTATCAACGTATGTTTTTGATGTGGCACTTCCAACCGTTGTTTTGGATTTTGAATCAACCGCCAATCCAAGCGGTTGTCCGACTCGTCCCAATTTTCGATTGTATGCATTGTCAACGTAAGTTCTTGGTGCACATCGAATCGTTTTCTCTGACTTGGAATGAACAGCGGTGCCCTTTTCGAGTCCAACACGACCCAGCTGGCGATTCAGTTCGTTATCAACATATTTCGATGGCGTAGCATATGAACTTTGACTGCTGCTGGAATGAACCGCAGATCCGATCGGTAAACCCACGCGGCCAAGGCGTTGATTCATGGAATTGTCGACATAAACGCGCGACGACGAAGTGTCAGGCGAATAACTGGATCTCGAATGCACGGCAGTTCCATGCTCCAACCCAACTCTGCCGAGGCTTCGATTCATCGAATTATCGACATAAACGCTTGGTGATGAAGAGCTACTTGAATAGCTGGATGTTGAATGTACGGCAGTGCCATGAGCCATTCCCACTCGGCCCAGGCTTCTATTCATTGCATTATCAACGTAATGACGTGGCATTTTGAGTAGATTTCAATGCTACTAGCTGTTGGGAAAAGGAAAAAATATATATATTTGAGTTACTTTCCTTAGGTGGCCGATTTCTTGTAAGACTTTTTTCTAATGAACGATTTTGAATGCGAAAAAATATGAGAAAACAAGACAAGAGGAGAACGTTTTGGAAAATTTCATTTTTTAATCTCATGACATTCTCGAAAATAAAGTTTATCAAGTCTTTATCGAAAAAATGTTGAAACGTCCTCAAAAATTTCTATTTAAAATAAAATGTCTTACATCCGTAAGATGAACTTTTCCGCACCGTGATCCAAAACATGCATTTATTACAAATCTTTTACTCAAAGAATTCACGAAAAAACTAAACCTGACATTAGTTTTACGATACAAATGATTTTCGAAGCACTTTTCATACAAAATCTACTAAAAATGGAAATTTTGTATCGCAGACTATATGATATCGTTATCATGTGAAAATTTGCAGAGGTTATTTTTTTCACAAAAAGTTAACATTCTGAAAGTTTGAAGAAATTTCAATGCATATTAAGGGTACTTCCCATACAAAATTTCGTTTTTGAGCGAAAAATCCAAAATTTTATTTGGGAGGTACCCCTAATATGCGTTGAAATTCCTTCAAACTCTCGAAATGGTATTTTTGTATGATAAAAATAACCTGTGCAAAGTTTCAGCTCATTACGATAACATAAAGGCATGGCTTCCATACAAAAATCCAATTTTTTTGAAATTTTTGTATGAAAAGTGTGTCGAAAGTTATTTGTATCGCAAAACTAACGTCATATTCGGTTTTCTCGTACCCAAAAACCCCCCAATACATATTTTTGAGTGTTTAAGTACACATTAAATATCACTTTTGGAAGAAAAATTGATTTTATCCCATGGATGTCCATGGGCATTACACCAGACATGACACTTCACTCTGTCAACCAAAGTCGCTCAAAATCTAATGGTTTCTATTCCTCGGGACCCCCAATCATCCTGTGAAGTCAGATTTTGAATTACTTTTCTGGTTTGAAAGTTATCGTGTTAACAAATTTTTGCGTACAGGGTACAGGATACAGGGTACCACGCACATACATTCGGACATCAAAAAAACGCTAGATTCTTGTTCCCTGGCTCCTAAAACACCCAGAAAACATGTTTTTTGAGGGTGTTAATTTTTCGACCGATTCCAATACTTTACCTTACACACTAGGTGTGTGCGGAAAAGTAAAAAAGTAAAAAGATTAAAGTATACAAAACAGAGAAATAAATAAAAATCTATCTCAAAACATTTTTGGTTATGTGCATTGAAGCAGCACAATAAACGGTCGACTGTGATTTGTTAACCACCACATTTTACATTTTTGTATTCACACAATGCACGCGTAGTAAACTTATTTTAAAGACTATGACTTAAAATGAATCGCAGGAGCCGTGAGAGTACCGTTATCAAGCATTTCCAGGCATTACTACGTTTTTATTTCTTTATTTTAAATAAGGAAAAATTTCCGTTCAAATATTTTATCTAGATGTCGAATGCGGTAGAATGAAATATGTGTGAGTTTGACCTTCAATCGTGCAAAAAAGTGTGAAAAGCAAAATAGGCAATAGAGTGTGTAGATAAACTTAAAAAAGGTTTTCAATTTTATCAAACTCGCGAGTTGATGTTTGAATAAACCACTGGCAAATTCGACATGCCCCACTCTATCGAACCAGTTTCAAAGAACGAAAAAAGTAATAAATTGAGTTTTACCAAGAATACGCTGTTGGAATTGTCACTGTTGCTGCTTCGAAAAAGGTTGTTAAATAAAAAATATTCTTGTTGAAACAAGAATTGAATTTTTTGATGATTCGACGCAATTTTTTTCAATACATATTACAAAATAAACAAGAACCAAAAGTAACTCGAATAAAACTAACCTTTTTTCAAATGATTGTATTTCAGCAAAAAAAAATGTTTAGTTGTCACTAAAGTCGACCACTGGTGTTTTTTTGAATTGATTAATTACAGCTTGAAAGTAGCAACACAATTTCGAAGTGTACTTTACCGCAACGCAAGTAAAACTGTCTTTATTTCCAATTCATATGTTTAGTCTAACCTGGTTTAGAGCAATAACAATGACAGCGGTCGTCTTATACACTCGTTTGGTCAGCGACAACATGGTTGTGTGAGTGTGAACTGTAAAGGGATACGGAATATTTAAATGAGCGCTCTAAGCATCGCGCGACGTAACGATATGCAAAGTATGTGATACTCACACAACCATGCTCGCCGCTAGTCGCGACGACAACACACATACACAATGATGTTGGGACTTCAGTGGTCGCAATGTTTTTATATCGAAATAAATACAATACTCTGCATGCGTCGAAAGCAAAACAATACAATGAAATAAAAACAGATGATATTTCCAAATTTGTTTTGATCTGCTTTGATTTATTCCATACACGAAACGCGCTGAACGAAATAACTTCAAACGGTCTCTGCTTCGACTGAGCAATTTGCGTACATTTGAACATACCGAATGTAGTGAGATTGGAATGTTTTGCTTATTTTTTATTGGACCGGTAAAACCAGAATTTAAATAAAAATCAATCACTGAAGATAGAAGCAATCGCTCATTCAGATGATGAATTCTAGCTCCTATTTTAGTATTAATCAACACTGTCGGTTTGATCAATGTTGGAATCTGTTTAGCTCGTTTTGGAGAAATAGCTTTGTGATGAGTATAAAAGTCTTTTGTGTTTGGACTTGAGGTTTGCTTTCTCTGCCAATATCAAAAATACATGAAATATGATACACATCGATATGGTTGCCTATATTTTTGTATGCGTGAACAAAGTCATTGGGTGTAATATGAATTTGTGCCGGGGAGTACTAACTGCATCAAATGGAAATATGAATAATTTTGCCAAATATCCATTGAATGTGCTATCCATATCACATTGATTTAAGAAGAATGTTGTGTTAGTCCATAAATATTAAACAGCCTTACTTCGTCTCCTGGACACTTCATTATTTGGAGATTTTTCAATAAATTTTTTGTTATCGTTGTTTCGGCCCCAATGTCTTCAGTACCACACGGTTTAATTTAATTTCACCAAATATGTTCGCATATATGTTTTCAACAATAGAAATACATTGTATGTTATATGTATTTCCCAAACCTTAGCCTTTATTAATTTGTGAGTCTGTAAATAAAAGCATATTAATTCCAATGTGTATAGAATACACACATTGTGTCAAAGTATGAAGAAATTGAAACAAAATCAGAGTTTGGGTTCTTTCATTGACAGTATTTTATTATGTTTTAAAGCTGTAATCTTATTGTTGAGAAATCTAAATGTTATTTTTGAAAATAATTAAATGTGAATGATATTATTGGTTACTCGATAAATGATTTGATTTCGAAAATGAATATGAACAATATTTGAGCAAAATATTTTATCAAATTATGCACGAAAACGTAAAGCAGTAAAAATGCTGAACCAGATTTATAATACTTTTTGCATAGCATTTTGAGCATATTCCACAGTGGAACGGTTTTTCGCCGGTATGGTGAACTCGAATGTGAATCTTTAGTTCTGGTTGCTTTGGACTTTTGTATCGCTGACATAAATGACATTCGTAGCAACGTCTCTTGCACTTTCCTTCGTGAATGTCCTTTTCCGTTTGTTGAATGAAACTTTTGCAGCAAACCGAACACTTGATTCTCAATGGACGGGGATTGATGTGAGTTTTCATTCAAGTTGCTTGCTTGATTGAATTTTTTTGAACATCGATAGCATCGATATGGCTTCGCGCCAGTGTGTACACGCAAATGTCTTTTCAAACTCGACTTGTGCAATGTAGAGAAATTCTTGCAAAAATAACATTCGTAACGTGGAATGTTACAGACAACTTCATGTTCCGATTGCCACAAAGTAGCTAAAAGTAGATAGACACAAAGTACATGAATGTGATTTCACACCGGTGTGCTTGAGAATGTGTGTTTTCAAGTTGAATTTATACGAAGTGGCATACTCACAGAGTGAGCACTTGTGTTGTTTTCCCTTTGTAGCCACCTTTTCTAAATCTTCTGCACTTTCTTCTTTCACCTCCTGTTTAATCGCAGCCGATTGACAAAGGCCATCGAAATCGTATGGTCCATCCATTTGCTCATAGTCAGTCGACCTGCGAAAACTGGTGCCAGAATGCTCTGGTATCTCGACCATGCTCGGATTTCACTTCGATTCTAACCATAAGCAAATTCAGTTCACCATTATCGGATGACATTTCATTTGCGTCGTTTTTATCGGGAGGTGGTTTGCCATGACTATCCATTGCGTCGCAATTCACGTACTGTCAATTGGAACAATTTTTTATTAGAATTAATGCATAAATATTGGAGAGAAAAAAGATCCACTTCGATATTTACTCACTTCTTTTTCCGTGAATATGGCGATATTTTTCGTGACTTTAATGGCAATGTACGAATAAAATCGATCGATAATTCAATGACTCCAAATATTTTTGCCAGTGTCTGCTCGTGGTTCGTGAACTGTAAAAATGGCGGAATGATGAAAATATTATTTTGTTGTGACCGTGTGGAAGTTGATGCATCAGGGCAAAATAGAACGATGAACGCAATTTACTCAAACAATTCGATGACGTTTACACATTTTGGAAAATATTTGCGTATTGCCGCTGTGAAAGTATTGCTCGCGACGAATTTCGAAACCAATTTGCAATTGGTACCGACCTTAACTATAAAGTCCAAATATAAAGTTGATAGAGATGCTACGTCACATAAACTCTTATTACATCCAGCAAATGGTAAATGACAAGATGCCATTGTTTCCAATTTGCTGGCAGTTCATTGACGGTCTTTTTCCTTACTGCATTTTCCTAATAATAAAATATTATCGTTGTATAATAAAACTTGATGAATGCTTTTCCGCGCACCTAGTGTGGCAAAGGTTTTTTTTTTGTATAAAATGAAACACTAAATTTACGAGCTGTATTTGTGGTGCATTTTATTATTCATTTTAATTCACCAAACAAAATTAGGGTTTAAAACAAATATGTT